TACAGGAAATCGAGAGAGAACAGAGGCAGAAGACGTTTGTCTGTAGACGGGGTCAGGCCGCAGACCTCAGTTCGGTATAATTCGGACGCTCCGCCTCCGTTGTTCGCGATACAAAGCACAAACCATTCATTTGCCTCACTTTAATGACAAGAATCTTTGCGCATAACTATGAATAAAGACTTACAATAGGAGACTATAACTCATGTAAATTGACAAAAACTTCTTTACCTTACAGTGGGACTGCCAGCATCTACATTTCACGAGCTCCATACTTTTCCATTTGTTTCGGAGGAAAGGTGTTAGGAATTCTGAACCTGAAGGAAGTAGAGTCGGTAGTTTGGCATGCTCGTTCATGCAACATTAGCGTTTCGGTTTTCTGGTGTCTGCGATTGGTTAAAATGATTGATATAGATGCGGCATATCGGGAGTGCGACATGGATATTTTGGAGCATTAAACTTTCCGGGAAGCCACTTTCCCCTGATTGAAAACACCACGCATGCGTGCACTCACCTTGACGAAGACAGTCTTTGCAGCAAATGCAAATCGCCTTGTTTAATTTCCGAAGAAATTAGTGCGCGAAATTGGAGTAAATCTTTCGAAACGGGACTGTTCAAGCACGGTTCAAAGTGTGATATGGATATTTGAGTTGAAATGCATCAGCTACTGCGGAATAACCGCTTAATATTCACAAATCGCCAACAGGCAGCCAGTAGTATAGAACTGTGCAATGATTTACCGTACTAACAACACAGGTATTAGCTAAAAGCCCAGACACGCGTGTTTCGCCGATCTTATGCCGCTGTCCGACGCAGCTGCGAGGGGTTCGGCTCGTCAGTGGGCCCCCCAGCTTTCCCCGTATGTTTTCTGGTATATGAACTCCGGTTTCAACTTGCCTTGTCTAATTTCTGAGGGAATTAATGCGAGAACTTATAGTAAATCTTTCGAAACGGGCCTTTTCAGGCACGGTTCAAAGTTTGATATGAATATTTGAGCTGAAATTCATCAGCTACTGTTGGCGGTTTGTGAACACTAAGCGGTTATTCCGCAGTAGCTGATGGATTTCGGCTCAAATATTCATATCAAACTCTGGACCGTGTCTGGAAAGGCCCGTTTAAAAAGATTTACTATAAGTTTTCTCATTACTTTCCACAGAAATTAAACAAGGCAAGTTGAAACCGGAGTTCATATACCAGAAAACATACGGGGAAAGCTGGGGGGCCCACTGACGAGCCGAACCCCTCGCAGCTGCGTCAGGCAGCGGCATAAGATCGGCGAAACACGCGTGTCTGGGCTTTTAGCTAATACCTGTGTTGTTAGTACGGTAAATCACTGAAAATATGCAATTCGCTAAAAATATATCGGTTAGAAGTGTATAACCGGCGATCAAATACTGCAATAAATTTCGAGAAGCTTGAATACCAGTTTCATCGGTGTAATGTATGGCCGTCGAGAGAAACAAAACGGTTATTATCACACGGTCGTTTTCGATAGCCAAAAATGGCCTTTAATAATCTCCTTCACCCCCTGAGGTATCTATATGCCAGGATTCACGAAGTTTCAACATATTTTTGACGAAGACGTTCGTTAAATGAGTGGATGGAGTAAAGTAGTAAAATACTTTGTTGCCTGCATTCGACAAAATAGTTATGCTCGAGAAAGCTACCACTCGTACGACAGCTATGGCCGATTTTGTGCGATGAGGTAGTGGTAATACGGAAAGTGCAAATTCCTGGGCATTTCTGACTTTTATGATATTTCAGACGACGTCGTCGCCCTAAATACGCTTCTAAACGTCCTTAACTGAAATTAAGTGGCAATACTTATCATTTATGGCAGAAGTACTCTCCCTGATCCGAGTCGGCGGTCTGAGCACCGAACTTCAAATGGACCACTCGACAAATAAAGGCTGAAAAATTGTTTGAATTAGCTTCTATTTAATCTATAGGGAAAGAGACATGAACTCGAATTGTGCTTGTGGTGATCTCAGAGAAAACGAACGATGTTGCACAAGATATTGTAGATGGCACACTGTGTGACCATGAAATGAAGCTTTGCTATTTTGATAAAAACCCAACACTTGCGGTACCACACTCATAAATGCGCGTCCGTATGCCCGCTGCTTTATTAATTGGATGTGCCGTCATAGAAATTCATAATATCATAATATCCCGTAAATTCTTCTTTGAAATCAAGGTCAAAAAACGTATCAGACTATTTTCTGTCAAAAAGCCTTTGTCCAAGCCGTTCAAGCCAAGTTTCAGAGGCGACACAAACACTCAGTAAAGCCGAGCTTTGTTCTCTGGCTGATGGTCGATTAGTATGATGAGCAATGGGGAGGTTGTTTGATTGCACTATCGTAAAAGGTGGCTCATAGTCAAAACTACGGCCTGTGGCCAATCTCGTTTTAAACATTCAGAAGTAAAGAGATAGTGCTAAGTTTCTTGCAAACATACATGAAGAGTCCCCTTTCCCAGAGCAAAATTTCATCAATTTTCAGTTCGTCCTGCTATGATTAGCCACGATTTGAACAAGTCTCTTTGAATTCATAAAAAAGGATACTTAGAACTGCAGGAATTATGTCAGCAAGAGTATTTTATATAATGCATAGACTAGTAACTTTTGCTTACCGCTCTGATTAAAGGCTTTATGACAAATCTCGCAGATGTAAGGCTTCTCTCCAGTGTGGATTCGCTCATGCACTTTGAGAACGTTCATTAGACCGAACGCCTTGTGGCAGTACCGGCAGACGAATTTCCTTGCCCTCTTCTCTGCATCTAGAGTTTGTCTCGAGTGAATCAGCTTCGGTGAGCATTGACCGCCCTCCGCTGTCGGGCTCTCTTCCGAATCAGTTCCATCCATATCGTAGGCAGTGGTAGACCCGACCTCCTCTTCGACCATGGCGCCCTCCTCTTCTTCCTCTACATCTTCATTCTGTTCGGTTTTCGGAGTCTTGTCGTCGACACTTGCGTCACCATCACTGGAAGCTGGTCTGATCATTATACGGCACTCGTCGACGCCGAGGTGACATGGGTTGCTCTTCTCCTCCCCCTTATCGTATGTATCAAGTAATTCGGAGTCCGTCGCATTTGTTGTAGGCATTTGGCTTGACAGAACGTTCGTGACCACATTTGACGGATTCTTGACGGAGGCGGCTTCGAGGAACTGCTTCTTCGGTGAAAAGTGAATTGCTTCTTCCAGCATGACAGAAAGTTGTGCAACAGACAGGGCTCACAAAAGGGCCAAATGGTAGTTGTATCGGACGTACCTTCAGTGCCGCGGTACGGAAAGAATTGAATCTGGTGTCCCGTGAGTGGGAGGAGGAGGAGGGGGAGTGCGTGTGTGCGTGGGTACGTGCATGCGAGAAGGCCTCACCTGGTCGCGGCGACTACAGAGTAGCACTCTCACGCAGATTGTGCGTGAGTACCTCCAGTTGGGATCACAGCTTGTTGGGCGGAGTACGCGCGCGCATGCGCGCGCGCGCTCACGACCTGAAGAATGCCCACTTCCCCCGGCCCTCTGCTCAGGGCAGCCAATGCGAATGCCGCTGTTCCTCTCGGTGGCGCTGGCGGCCACCGTGATGTGCAGCTGCAAAAGTGCGTGCGTGTGCGTATGGTCACATGCACTCGCGGCTTGAGCAGTCTCCACGCCGTCCTGATAGGCTGCAAGCGCGAGGGGAAGAGATGAGGCTGTCAACAGCAGCAACGGTGACCGAACGGAAGAAAGGACGCGTACATAGGTAGACCCGCTTGGAACTTTGTGGGGTCCGCGCGCGTCCTCCCGGGCCTTTTAATGCCACCAGTCGACAGATTGCAAGACTGGGAGCGCGAATTAGGATTCGGCCTGATGTCAGCCAGCAAGGTCTACTCTTGGACCTCTAAAATTTGAGTAAATAGAGCGTTTGCCCTTGCGGAATGATATCACAGATTGGATTTCTAATTTCACGCGGGACGATAATGACTTCATTCCACTCCCGGAATGCATGGTGGATGAAACCCAAGGTTAGGTATATCAGCCGAACAACAACCATCCCCCGCTACCCTAAATAGGCTTAAATAGATTGGAATTCATGTCCCAGCTGATGATTGAGCCACTTAAGAGAGCCTAATGCCAAAGCATTCGGAAGTTAAGTCATTATGAAACTTGGGAAATTTACGGTTGCTGTGCTTTTCATGCTTTATTTTATCCACAGGGGCAAAAATTTCTTGATAAGCTTCTTCTGCAGGGAGTGAAGAAAACCTTTTCCCCTACACTGAATGCTAAAAGTCCCCAACATGGTTTTAAGCCCCTGAAAACGGAGGCGTCAGAGCTTCCGACCGTCGATGTTAGGGTCCCGTGCCAGTGTAGAATCAAATTGATCGTAAATACTGCCGGAAATTATATTTTCAGACCCGGTGCATCTGCTCCTGCTCCTAAAACTATTATTACTGCAACGGTCGCTGAAACGCATGATGCTATGACTATCACCTGAGTAACGACCACCGTTCCTTCTACATATATCATCACTACTACAAGAAGACATATTAACAACACGGCTACTACTGGTACCATAGCTACTACCGCAGTGGTCTCACGCTGGGAGACAATGCAGGACATCACTGATCGTATTTGGGAAACTACGGTGCAGTACATTACTGGGGCATTTGCTTTTTGAATTCTAATCATTATCAAGTTTTGTTGAGCATCTAAGTGCATGTTCATGTCTGTTCAATACGTTAAGTGAGAGACGATGCGAGGCAGACTTCTCAATTTAATGAGATAGTTTATGGTCACCTGTGTATCAAGCTTCTGGACTTTCAGGTTTTGTGGGAAAAATTTCACAGTATTTATCCGGTCATTCATAGAATTTGCCAGTGTCGTACTGATCTGAGGAGGAAGAGACTCACCTCTCGGAAGGTCGTCTTAGAATGTCCCATCTCTGTATACAACTTTAAAAACTGAAATTATGTTTTCAGATTATCAAGATTGTTTCTTTACAATATCCGTCGTATCCTACGTGCCGTTATCACTGTCGTCCAGCTGAGGGTACCATCAACGGGGAGAAATGATGAACGTCCGTTCCGCGGAAACCACGTTTACTGCAGTCTGCTCTACAAAGTTCACTACCGACTCCAATATCACACATAAGCTCTAGCATAAGTAAATAAGGACTCTTCATCTGTTGAGCAATTAGCCGCGAAGGCCTAGTACCTGCGCTGAGTGAGGATGACATAGGCTGTTTCAAAAATACGGAGAACGTTCAGTTCGATCTCGCAAAATGAGGGTCAAGTGCCTTTTCAAAGTATTTATTAAAAGACTGGCAGCCTTGGATATCAGTAATTGCAATCCGGATAGTTTAACCAACCGAGCGCACGCACTTTGATCTTGTCTCATGCGTGGCCCGTAAATGTTACTTTATCAGCAGCCAGTCCGCGACAAGCAATTAGTAGTGCAGCCTTGACTTGAGAAGAAAGCACCGGCGTGTAACTAGGCGAGAAGCATAAACAGTTTTCGGCGTCAGAACTCCGTGGACTCTGTTCAGTTTCCCATCACTAAAGTTAAAACCGATCTCTTTAACGAAGCTAGTACCAACCTGTGTCCTCGAGAAACAATTTATCACTATTATTGTTACTATTACCGCCCATGTCGTCGTCGTCGTCGTCGCCACCACCACCACCAACAGTAATGATGCTATTGCTACTAAAGATCGTCCAACCAATTTGGTCGAAAATACGGAACAACGTTCTGCTGTAATATGACGAGGTACAGACAATAAGCGGCCAATTAAGCGTAGAAATAGCTGACGGCAAATAACTAATGATTCCTGTAAGGACACGAGATAAACCATTTGCCCAAGCTGTATGAAAGTTCTATTGGACAACGCGCTGGGAGCCTTTTCATGTTTATTGCCTGATCCGCATACGCGTATGTTAATCTTCTGAGGTGTCCACTTATCCGTCTCGGACGCGCATTAGTGCTTCTGAGGCAGGGCCGAGCGTCACACGGTTCTGTCTTGACGACATGCAAAACGCCGGAAACCACAGATGAGATGGGCATTGCGTCATCTTGCCCCGCGCCAAATTACCGGCCACCCTGTAAGTGTGCCGGCTTAGATGTGGGGTGTGGGGTTCGGAAGGAAGGAAGAATGATTTTTGCACAAACTGATAGCTCAACCGCGGCAGCAACGGCAGCTACGAGAGCAGGATGCTGGCGATGAGTACTCGCAGCTCCGTCAGCAGCATCCTGTTAGAATAGTTGACTAGATTAACATTTTCGTCAGCCAGCCGCGGGGTCTACTAACTCCTCCCCGTCCCTGCGGGCAACACAACCATGAGTCGTCACGTCAGTCGCAGTGGACACTCCTCCCATGTTATAGGTTACCCGACACTCCACACACCCACACACACGCATAGGAGCTGGCGCGGGCTGGGTAATTGCAGCCGGAATGCCGACAACAGCACGGACGAAAGAGCAAACCGACGGGCGCGCTAACATGCGCCGACCGGGACATGCTCTGTAATCCCATTAAGATACGCGGCACCCTGCGTCCTGGGTCTGATAACCGTCAGTCTCACTCGCCCGGCGCTGACCATTGTGGTGTGAGGTGGGTGGGTGGGTGAGACAACAGTAACTTGTGCTTGAGGTCTAAAGTATCAATCAATGTCACGAGCGTGCATATACACACGCACGTCCATGCAGGGGTCAACTGCCGAAAGCCGTGTTCGAACGAGCGCGCTCCAAGCTGTGAGCGTGAACAGGGAAGACGGGCAGACAGAGGGGAGAGAGAGGGGTCGAAGTGAGTCGTCGGTGCGGTCAGAAGGAGAGTAAGCAGGGTGGCCGAGTCCAGCCAGTGACCCGGAACCTACCCGGTGGGCGTCCGGTCGAACGACCATCGCTGTCAGCTACGAGCCCACTACTCAAATAAATTTATGGATGTGCGGTTGCGGGGTCTATATGCAACGCAGCGGATTGGCTGATGCATGCTACGCATGACTTGGAAACAGTCAAAATAGGGTTGGGGAAGGGTAGTAACAACATGCGAGGGAAATTCACCTTCTGGTCATTTCGGGAGGGATGTTACGCACTAATAGCCAATAGACATAGGCGGCTTATAATAGGGTTTGATGCTTAATAGAGCAAGTCCAAAGATAAGGCTGTTCTACTACAAATTTCTCAGTGACTCATCAAGGTCGACAGCCACCAGATTCCTTTAATAAAGAAGTGTAAGCGGATGAAAGTTAGCAGAACATTTCGGGGAGTTCCAACGTCTCGAGAATGTTTCAATACAGAGAGGGGTATCTCAAATGACCATAGTTGTTTACTTAGATCACTGGAGATAGGGGTGGCCGACAGATCCAAGTCGGCGACCCAAAGAAATAAAACCGGAACAGATTTATGAGGCGAAACAGCAGCAACATTCTACAGCGTTCGGGACAATTGAAAACAAGTAATTATACCAGAAAAGTGACGGGGCTCACTTGGAGCCGAGGACAGGAAAGAAAACTAGTTTCCTAGTGTCGGCTGACCCGGTGGCACCCGAGCATCAGTGGGCAGGAACCGACCGTACTGCTGTAGCCTGGGGTCCTCATCTATGACGCCCCTGCAACCACTGTGCGAGACCAAGATAGGAAGTCCCGGGTGACAAACCAATGCCATTCAAATGGCCCGCCAGAGGCGGTAGACTACCTTTGAGATGGTGTGGCAAGGAAACTGCAGATGTGGAACTTAAGAGATACATCTCTCAACTACCACAGCGATATGTCCGATGTTTGCATGGCTCGGCGTCGCCACCTAACAGAGGGATCAACCCATGAAAACTTAGACGGTGTGTGCGGCAGTCTGACATGCCAGCTACCACTGTAGACCACAAGAACTGGGGCGAAGCTGGCAACAAGTAAGTAGGGGCACAGATATTATCCACAGCCGGTAATGGGACCCAACGTAAGGGACCCGTTGGGTACGTGATCAAATAATCTTATTAGGCTAAATGCATACTAGACAGTCCTTTCACGGGAGATGAGTGACCAAGGCAGTTAGCTTAAGCCTCTAACCACAAAAACAGCTGACTCCCGTTGGCCAAAAAGCTTTTACTCAATTAAGTAATTTGCCCAGTTATCCGAAGTGCGTAAAATTGTAAGGCACATATTGGAATAAATCAGAGGGGAGTAAATTACTGACCGACGTTAAAATTGATGCGTTTGTTTCTCCCACTTCAAGGGCCCGCCGATCTTTTTCTTTGACCTCAGCGACTGAACTGCAACATGTGCAATACTCTCACGGGTTCGCATGACCGATTAATTGGCATGAGCTGGTGGCGTACACTACCGACCAGGGGCATTTTACTGAATTGACAATCACCAGAACCTCCTGTTTTCTGCCTAAAATGACTATATTACCAATCTCGTATCCTTTGGTGTCGGCCAGTTTTCAGCCTGATTAAGAATACTGACTGTAATAAGCGCAGTAAACTCCTGGTACTTCATCCTGTTTTAAATATTTACCTAAGGTAGACGGATGACTCAAATAAGGCGTAGTTACTCTACTGCCTACCTCAGACCTAACGCTTTATATCCTCATCAGAATCAATGCCTAAATATTTGACTTTCAACACTGCATAGGTCTACCCGTAAGAAATGTTATGTTTATGCTCACCTACATATTGGTTTTTTCCGGATTTTCTCTAGAGATACACCAAAGCAGTTGAAAACATAAAGTGCAAGAGACGGTGTGAGAGCTGCTTTTGCCTTCTCGTTTGATAGGGAATGGTTCACTTTTTGAACAAACGGGTTACAGGAAAGGTAATGTGCATTCAATGCGGAGTGACCAAGTTACTATAAGCCAGACAAACTCCATGTTGTACGTCCGCCGTGATGGAGCCGACGCATCCAGTATGACACCATGCTGCCCGGACGATGTTTATTTGGGATATGCACTTTCTGTAGTTCTCGTACATAAGGGGAATATGGCGCAAAGTTCACTGTTTTAAACACTAGCAGCATACTATTCCAACGAAACGGCAACGCGCTAAGTCTGGTGGTTCAACTGTCGCAAGCAATAAAGACAGTCTCTGCCGTACTGGCCAGGCAAGTCCTGGCTTGTGCGGATGTGTCTATAGTGGAGCGAACATTCGATGAATCTCACCCATTCTCGCGTGCGACGCCCACCCTGCGAGACGTAGAGGTGTCCAGTTGTAGGTCCACATGAAGGTCGCACAAGGTCGCTCATTTGCATGCAGGTGTTGACTACGCCTAGCGTCCAATAACTGTCAACCAACTCTCACATGTGGCTCCCTAAAGTTAGGCTCTGTCTAGCGGCCAAACCCCGGGAATCACCTCAACCGGTGGGCTAAACCCAATGAGAGTATCCGTGTGTACAGCCGCTAGCCGTACGGGTCACCGCATCGCCATCTCTAAGATGAGGCTCCGTTTGCAACCCCACAGGGGGCCACATGGAAAGTGGCTCCCCAAGTAAGCTGAATACCACTTGGTTGTCTTTGCCTGCTCACTACTGCTAGCAAGCTATTGGTCCAGTGGCTGGGAGACCTGCCTCATTCTACGCCTGCGCACCTTCTTCCCGCTCCTCTCCGCCCTACGTTCTCCCTACTCGACTATCTTACCCTACGGTCGAAAGTTCTACAGCGAGGGCGACGTGCAATCTCGTAGGCGGCCCAGGCCACTGACTGTTCTCTCGCTAAACCCCCTAACACATAGTGAAGAGCGGCATCCGTCTGGTGCGACGAAACAGCCCTGTTTAGGGAGAGCACTGCTTTCTTCCGCTAATTGGAGGGGGCAAAAAAGGTGCCCTAAACAAAGCTGGATTCACGACATCTACTCGCAGACCATGGCTCGCAGACTGCTTAACACACGGTCGGAACCAAAGCATGTGACAAAATACTTTATTTCTTCTTTTTCCTCCTACTCCTCCTCCTCCTCTTCTTCACCCCACCCCTAGGCTGCTAGGCTGAGTCCACTCACCCTTACAGCATATAATGTTCATTCCCTTTTATATAATCATAGGAGCAACCGGGCGGAAAGATGGATGGCTCTAGTCGCACGGGAACTGGCGTGCTACAAGGTGGACATCGCTGCATTCAGCGAGACCTGGTTCTCCGAACAACGCTAACTTGAGGAGGTGGATGATGGCTACAACTTTTTCTGTAGCGGTCTCCCCAGGGTAGAGCGAAGTGGCGCGGCCATCGCCTTTGCCATCAGAAACGACATCGTAGGACGACTGTCCCGTCTGCCGCAGGGCATCAACGATCGACTGATGAGCCCCCATCTGCCTCTTCGGGGATCCAACTTCGTCCCCATCATCATCGCCTGCACGCAACAATGGCCGACTCAGACAAGACGAAGTCCAAGTTCTACGAAAACCTGCACGCCCTCCTGGCGTCTGTGCCGAAAATGGATAAGCTGACTGCCCTTGGTGACTTCAGCGCCCGCGTCGGCACAAACCATTCTGTCTGGGGAGGAGTGCTGTGTCCCTACGGAATCGTCCGCTGAAACGACAATGGCCTCCTCCTCCTGCGAGCCTGCGCTGAGCACCGTCTCCTGTTGACCAACACATTCTTCCGCCTGAAGTTGGGAAGAAGGCCACCTGGATGAACCCCCGATCGCAGCGCTGGCAGCTGCTGGACTATGTTCTCGTCCGCGGCGAGATCAGCTGGACGTGATGGTGACCAAGGCGATCTTCAAGAATGATGGCTGGACGGGCCATCGCCTCGTCATCTCCGAGATGCGGCTTCGTCTACAACCCTACAGGAGATCACAATGTAAGCAAAGTCTAGGTTAGCTGAATACCGTTTAGTTGTCTTTGTCTGCCCACCGTTTACATTTCAGCAGTCAACAGATTCAGCGGCTGGAAGAACTGCCAGCTGCAGATAAAAACGCCTCAGTGGAGACTCGATGGTGCCAACTACGGGATGCCGTTCAACTGGACGTCCTGGCTGCCCTCCGTCGAACGCGTCGCCACCACCACGACTTAATCGACGGTAACGACGCAGCCATCAGTAATCGGCTTGTCAAGAAGAACAGACTGCACAGAGCCTATCTCGGCCGTCCAAATGACGCGAACAAAGCAGCCTTCTACCAATATCGCCCCTTGCTCAGCGACGGTTGCGAGAAAAATGATGTCTGGATAACTAGCAAGGCCGAGGAGATCCAGGGATATGCCGACCGTAACGAACCAATGAATTTCTTTGCTGCGATCAAGACCCCCAGCGAGGGGAACCGCGCTACTTCTAAGCTCCGATGGATCAACGCTTTTGCCGGAGAAGTCACAGATTCTGAAGTGCTAGGCTGAGCACTTCAGAAGCGTCCTCAACCGTCCCTCCACAATCTCCAACGCCCCCGTCAACCGGCTTCCCCATGTAGAAGCCAACACCGACCTGGATTTTATGCCCTCACACCCAGGAACCACCCTCACCGCACAACAATTCCTGAGGGGGAAGCACCCGGCTCTGATGCGATCCCAACTAAATTCTACAAGCATGGCGACTACCGGCTGGTGGAGCACCTGACGGCGCTATTTCAGGAAGTTTAGCGCTGAGGGCAGGTTCTCCAGGATTTCAAGGACACAACCATCGTCCATCTGTACAAAAGCAAAGGGAACCGGTTACTCTTCAGGAGTCAGAGGGACATCTCGCTACTTAACCTCGACGGGAAGATCTTCGCTCGCATCCTCCTCAATCATCTCAACGGTCACCCAGAGCAAGAACTTCTGACGAAAAGCCAATGTAGATTCCGGTGACACGCGTAGCCTCTGATATGATCTTTGCCCCCCGTCAGGTACAAGTGAAGTGCCTGGAGATGCAGACTAACCCCTACACCAACTACGTGGATCAGACGAAAGCCTTCGATACGATGCGTTGTGAGGGACTGTGGAAAATCATGCGGAAATTCGGCTGTCCTGAGTGCTTCGCGCACGTGGCATGTCAGCCCCACGACAGGATGATGGCGCGCGTCACAGACAACGGCGCAATCTCCGAGGCATTCACAGTGACCAATGGAACGAATCAGGAAATAATAAAGAAGCTCAACCACTTCCACCTCATTTGCCTTCGCAGAATTCTAAAGCTGGAATGGTGAGACAGGATCGCAGACATGAAAGCTCTAGAATGAAGCGGAATCCCCAGTATCCACGCCATGCCGAGGCAGCTGCAACTACATCAGAGTCGCCAGCTCGTGCGGATGGAAGATGCACATCTACCGAAACACCTCTTCTATGGTGATTTCGTCACGGTGCTTGCCGACCTGGAGGACCAAAACGACGCTACAAGAAGACACTGGAGAATTCTCCTAAGCGATTGCATATTAATCTAGAGACCTGGGAGGACTTCACCTAGAACGGAGCGGCCGGGAGAAGAGAAGTGAAGACCGGCGCTGCCATCTACGAAGCAAATCGGATCGCCGCCGCCAAAGCTAAACGAGAAGCTCGCCTCCTTAGTGCCAGCCATTCGCCGCTTCTAACATGCCTTCGCTGCCAACGCGCATTCCGCACATGAATCGTCCTCGTTGCACATCTTCGGATCCAATGCGCCATCAGTCCGACAACGTCTACCTCTTCTCCCACTCTCGCTCCTGCCGCAAACCCTGCTCCGGCCGCCATCCCCGCCACCGCCGATCATACTGTCACTGTCCTGTCGCCACCAGCCACCGACAACATTTGCCCTGCCCCAATGCCTGCATCAACTGCAGGG